GGGGGGGGGAATACTTCGATTAGAGCGACGAGGTAGCCAGAGAGCCTTGGAGCGAACAGGAGGAGCAAGCAAGAGGTTGCGGTATGATGCGACAGCATTTGTGCAAGTGGACGGGCTACCGTTGGTCCTGCTAAGGCGGAGGTGACGTGGATTGGTGGAGTGACAGAGCGATTCAGCATACATTCCGACTCAACTGCGAGACGGTTTGGAAGCAGGCCGCCTCATGACACGCACGTGTCGCTCCAGCATGCGCAGTTTCTCTTTTCTTCTGCTGTCCATCGCATACGAATTCTGATACTCACCTCTCCAGCCCATCCCTGTGTAGGCTGCAACTTTTGAAATCTAGCTTCTCTTTCCCTGTTCAGTACCAAGTCCAACGCTCTCGCTTCTCTCTGTCTCGTCTTTTCCTCTTCCGAGCTCGATGATGCTAGTGATGGTGCGCCGGGCATGGAGCCTGTGGATGTGGAAGACGATGGTGCGGAAGCTGCTGCTTCTCGCTCTCTCTGCAGCGCTCGCTCTGCTAATCGCGCCGTATCTCTCTCGACGCCTTTATGCATGTTCTGAGCCCAGGGGGGAGGTGGAGGGCCGGAGTGACGTCTCAGCTCGTAGCTTCAAAGCATCCCGAGAGGCGAGAAAGGTACTCTGTGTGTCTGGATTCCGTCTTCGGGGCAATCTGTTCATCTGGCATTTCACCCAATGACATATCCCAAAGTTGCTCTGTTCGATGTCCATCGCAATTCCCCGCGCAAAGCGCAAAGAATCTTTTGACTCACCCGAGCTTCTCGAACCTGCATATAATGTACTCCCCAGACAGTCAAACCCGATACAATGATAGAACCCACCAAAGTAGCTTTAGCAGCTCGAGACATTGTCGCTCCGTCCCTCGTCGAGTCGAGTCGAGTCGAGTCGAATGGATCTGATTCTGATTCGAGCCGCTTACTGGAATGCCCGCACTCGACACACGAGACCGTCTCTATGACTTGCTTTGCTTTTGACGTGAGCGGGAGCGAGAGCCTGCGTGAGATCTTGAATCCTGGGTCGGTGTGAGGGGAGGATACATTCGCACGCTTGATTGACTCTGTGATCAAGGCAGTGTATACAGACTTTAAGTTAGAAGGTACGTTCAAAGCTGTGCGCACTCAATCAGAGAATCGAGAATGTACCTACCGTGTACAAGATTCCATGATTCTGATTCGCAATTCACAATTCACAATTCACAAATTACAATTCACAATTCACAATTCACAAATTACAATTCACAATTCACAATCCACAATTCACAATGAAATCATCATATGGTTTTCAAGCGAAAACGCATGAGTCAGGCAAACGATCTCGTACGGGAAAAAGGTGATCGGTCAAAGCGCGCGGCAACACGCGCTATAAGCCGCGGCTAAACTCCGTACCGTCCAGCTCGATCGCCCGCGCCATTCCGCGAGCTCTGCCACTCACGACTGTTGTGTGAGGCTCACACTCACACTCGTGACCATCCACGCGCACACGACTCGCAGATGGGCTATGCACGCATTTTGATTCAATTGTGATTGTTCATGCAGCAGCAGCAGCAGCAGCAGGAGCTATAGACGGGGGTCCCTTATCTGCTGCATGGCCTACTCGTGACTGTACCAGTACCGGTCAGTGGACGACGGTAGCTACCATCGTGCAGCTTCTCCACTTTGACTCGCGACTCTTGCTGCAGGTACCGGTAGGTACTCTTTGCGGGCGTGTGAGTTTTTCCAAAGGCTTACCGGCGGGGTCGAATACACAACAGTAGGACAGTCTGATGAGGTACGAGTATAGATCAACCAAGAGGAAGAAGATGTCGAGCAGAGGCGGCAAACACCGACACCGAGTTTCCTCTTGATTGTGCATGATTCACTCACTGATTGTTGACTGCAGCAGGGGACGTGGATGGCGGTTTGCGATTTGCATTTGCATTTGCATTTGCATTTGCATTTGCATTTGCATTTGCATTTGCATTTGCATTTGCATTTGCATTTGCGTGGGCTCGTGATTTGTGACTGAAAGTGGTGGAGCATGTGCTTATCCTCTGCTTCTGCTCTTTCATCCATCCAATGACCTTGCATGCTCACAACACCAACAGGGAGCAGGAACGCTTTTCGTGTACACTGCCGCGCAAGAGCAAACGTGCAGCGCAGAATTGCGGATAGCAGTTCACGAGTAGTGGATGGCACTTGCAAGATACCTGGTCGAGCAAGGATCCAGAACCCCGCGTGATCAAGACCCGTTGCTGCTCTTTGCTAGCCGAGCAAGGCAGTGTCAGGATCAAAGAGAGCTTTGCAATCAAGACGAGAACAGACGGTCGGTTGGTCGGTCGTTCGGTCGGGTCCGGTCAGCTACAAGCCAAACCTTTGCCTCTGATCTTCAAGGAGCCCTCTTGCAACACTCTCCTCCACCACGTTGACCCTCTTGCTCGCCGCCCTCTCTCGTGACTGCATCCATTACATCGCCATGGACGCCACGCTCAATACAGCGCAAGCTGCTGATCAGACGGACACACTGTCGCCTAGAGATGCACAGCTTTCCCAGCATGATCACCAGCAAAGGTTCGGATTGCTGAGTATTGTGGGATTAGCATTTGCCGTGCTCAACAGTCCTACCGGTGAGTTTGGCTCGGTCGTATGAGTGCGGCAGGACAAGACAAGATGAAGGTGGTGATACGTGACACCTTTGGTGGTCTCGGCTCGCTCTCTAGAAGCCGCATGTCCATCCTGCAAGCGCTCAAGCTGCCTTCTTTCACCATCACCCCTGTATCTTCACTTTTGCATCGTATACGATCTACGCAGCCATGTCCGCCTCCCTATCCGTCGTGCTACCTTCCGGTGGACCCGTCTCTGTGATTTGGGGTCTCTTCCTATCCTTTCTCGGCGTCTTCTCCGTCGCGCTCTCGCTAGCCGAGTTGTGTTCCGCCGCTCCGACTCCCGGGGGCCCGTATCACTGGGTCTGGTTGCTTTCGCGCATCAACGACTCGAGGGAAGATGGTGCGGCAGCTGGAAGAGGGAGGACGGCATCGTTGAGATTGACTTATGCGACGGGATGGATCGCTACGGCGGGATGGATCTGTCTGGCTGCTACCACCTCCTCCCTAGCCGGTACTTTGATTGTAGGAGCTATCGCCTTGAACAATGCCAACTATCAAGAGCAGAGTTGGCACGTCTTCCGTGAGTCGGGCGAGTCAAGGTACACGCTGAGTGCTAGCGATGCAAGCACCGAGTTGGGCTTCGAGACGCGGCTACTGCCCCTTGCGATTTTTGCCTCACCTCATTGAACCTACTACTCTGTCTGGCTTGTCCTCTGCATGCCTCATCTGATCGCCTTGCAGTCATCTACGTCGCTTTTGCCATCGGAGCTTGGTTCGTGAATGTCTTTGGAGCGAAAACTTTGGATCCGATCAACCGTGCGGCCCTGATCGTGAGTCGGGGAATGAGTGTAACACGTGGTCGCCTCGCACCTCGATTGACCGTGCTTCCTCTTGTCCATCAAGTGGTCCCTACTAGGCGTCTTTCTGATCTTGGTGACGACGCTTTCCGTCTCCTCTCCCGTATACCAGCCCGCCTCGTTCGTGTTTGGAAATTTTGCGAACAGGACGGGATGGCCCGACGGCGCAGCTTGGATCTTGGGATTGTTGCAGAGCACCTTCGGACTGGTCGGGGTGGATGGCGTTAGTCACTTGGTGGAAGAATTGCCTCGACCTCATAGGACCGCGCCGCTGGCCATGATTCTTGGTGAGCAGTAGCGTGTGGTGGGGCGACGCATGACGAGAAGGGCGTGTTTTTGCGCACACTTGCGACGGCTTGATATGCTAATGCTTGCTTGCTTGCTTTTCGCTCGTCCTCATCCCCGATGCAGCACCCATCATTGGATTTCTGAGCGCCTTGGCCATCCTCATGACCTTTTTGTTCGTCCTTCGAGACTTTGACGCCGTGGTGGATTCATCAGCGGGTCCCTTGCTGGAGATCATCTACCAAGCATTAGGCGGACGAGATGTGGCCAATCCCTCTCGGGCCATATTAGCAGGCAGTACAGCACTGTACGTCTTGCCCATCATTTCGATGGCGTTTGCAGCCATTGCTATTCTGTGCGCTTCTTCGCGACAGACGCAATCGTTCGCGAAAGATCGAGGATTCCCGAAGTTGTTCTCCGACCACTTGGCGAAAGAGGATGAGAGGACAGGCACGCCTATTTGGAGCATCACCTTTTCTACAGCTTGGGTCATCATCTTTGGATGCATCTTTTTGGGAAGCGAGACGGCGCTCAATTCTATTTTGAGCGCTAGTGTAGTCTTGCTGCAAATTAGCTACATTTTGCCAATCGCGTTGGTGTTGACCAAAGGAAGGAATTGTATAGATGGGATACAGCAACGTGTGCTCTTGCCACAGAGCATCGCGCGATCCATCAGTGAGGTATCGCAAGATCAGGAGAAGGGTAACTTCCAGCATAAGCAAATGGCAAGTGTTATCACAGCTGGTCGAGAATCGCTTCACTTGTCATATCGAGGCGCTCGACACTTTAACCTCGACAATGTCAGAATCTCATCCCTCTTCAGCAGTAAAAAAGCTGACAACGTCCTTGAGAAGATTGCAAAAGGACAACAAACACGTTGGTTGGCCATCATCATCAACGTCTGGTCCATCATCTTCAGTTCCGTCACCACCGTCTTCTTCTTCTTCCCTAGCGAATTACCCGTGAGCGGGTCGAATATGAATTACGTCGGTAAGCATCGCTTTCCTTTCCATTCTTCTCTTTCTCGCCTCTCGCCCGCACGTACGCCGCACAAGAATGATGATCCCGATCATCTCTTACCCTCGACCATCCCTTCATCAGTGGTCGTGACGTCCATCGTCGTTCTCCTCTCCCTCTCCAGCTGGCTCATGGATGGACGCAGACATTACGACGGACCTCTATCCGCCGATTTGCTCTCCTTCTCGCCCTCACATCTCTCTCAAGATGCTGATCGGCAAGACGTGCGCACGAGCGACAAGCACGATAGTCCGAAAGAAGAGACGAAGCTGAAAGAAGGCGGCGGCGGCGGTGGCGGGCCGACTTTGAATGGCGCAGAGCCGCAGATCAGGGATTCAAATTACGAGTAGCGGAGCGGGTAAGGTCCGTTTGCATCAACGAGTAC